AGCCTAGAGAGCGTGTGTGGGCAGGCGTGTGTTTACCGCCACATTGCCAGGTGTGTCTTTACCACCATATTAATTTATCAACCATAAGCACAGCTGCAGTGGTGTCTTGAACTTCATTCTGCAGTAGCGGATGTAGACTATATTGTTCAACACGTGAAACTAGGTATGCCGAAAACTTAGAAGCGGTAAACCTCATGAAACGTCCTTACCTGGCGATCAAAAAGCGTGGGACTGTCGAGTGAACGTATCTCAGCAGGAAGTTTATTCCAAGCAAAAGAGATCAGGAAAAGGAAGGATTTAGCGAAGTAACTGTAAGTCGGTGAAAGATCAAGAGACTTGGGGTGTCGGGAGGATGATGAAAATCGAAATTTGAAATCAAAAAGAACAGAAGGAAACGTGTAGACAATGTTGTGAATAGATATAATGAAAGTACCAAAACACAGCGAAAATAATTTGATAAGCGACGATGAGACGACAGCCGTAAAATAGCAATGAATATGATTGTATGTATGTATGTATGTATTCTTTATTTTACTCCGCAAAGTCAAACGGGATCGTTGCCCAATAATATGATAGCGAAGAAATATTATACAGTGCTGGCAACTGAAATCCGACCCCTGAGCGGTGCGGTGCGCTCACATCGCAAAGACCCAACACGGGATGCGAAACAGAGACCGCTAGAATGTGAACCCACCGCTCAGGGGTCGGATTTCAGTTGCCAGCACTGTATATAACTAATGTTTGCACTCATATCCATGTGTAAAACAAATATTAAATGGAAAAAAGTCCAGAACGTTTTCTCGCGACTATCATCAGTGGAACATCGTCACATAGTAAGAATCACCTAATCAACCAGTTACATGTAATACCTAGAGTTATAACGCTAAAACTGCATGATTGTTTGTCTCAATACCTAGAGTAATAATATTATTACACGAAACGTAGTAATATAGCAGCTCGTGTTTGCAAGTAACTTCATTTATGCGAATAGTGAGAACTGAGGCAATGAATTTGACAATGGTAGCGGCAGATAAATGTTGGAGGTGTATGTGCGTGTGTCGACAAAAATATTGAGTGCGTATTTTTTGAAGAGTGTCATTTTCATTCTGCTTACATGTCACAGGGTAACGTGTACGAATATGGACAGCTTCCAACACCTCCAACTGCTAAGAGAAGCGTGCGGAACAAATAACACTAAACCAGGAATCGTGAGGAAACTTACGACATTCCAGACTGGACATCAAATGCTTGTAGATGGCATGCAATGCAAACTTCCTCTAGTCGACATCCAACACTTCCTCGTCAGCACCACTATCATCCTTCACCTACGGACCTTCCCCTCCCATGCTGTCCTCCTGACCATCCTGTTCTTCCCCACCATCATTCGTCTCCATGTCCTCCCACCACCGTTTCTTTCTCCTTGACCCGTTATTCGCTGCGCCTGTACCCTCACCCGCATTGCCTGGTCCCACTTTCTACATTTGTCCTAAACGTGCCTCCGCTAGTCTTTGGATTCTCCACAGATCCGTTTTGCTTACGGTTCGTTCTCCTGGTGATCTTCCCCTTACCACAGTAGGGTTTGCTAATATGAGCGATCGTGCGGCGGTCTACCAAGACCGGCATGCAACATATAGTATGGAGGAGGGCAACGTCCGTACTGACCTGTGGATGGTCGAACAAGGCGCCCTGGGAATCCCACTGCAATGTTCTCTCCAGGCACAGTCTTCTAACATCTGGCTTCGGTAAAGTAAAATACTAATTGTTTACGATTACATGGCTAGATTTCAGCGTGCATGCAGATACGAGTTACATTTACTGTACTCCATTGGACAAAACATCGCATGCAGACTCTGGATTCACAATGCCCATTTCTTTCATGTTTTATTTCCGGAGGAAGAAAGAAAGCCTGGGATAAATTAGTTCAGTGGAGTTGAAATGGGAAGGATCTTACAAAATTGACTGGCGCTACTGTTGAACTCGGCCGAGAACATAACCCTTGCAGCTGGGCATTGATGATTCAGGAAGGATATCATCAGATTAACTTTTACTGTAGGACTCTTTCCAGACCCCTTGCAGCTGGGCAGTCATAATCTAACTCTAGCGAATGGTGTAGTAAGCGTCATAGCAGCGAAAAATTGTGACCTTTCAGCACAACAACGTTCTCGTCAGATTTAAATGTTTAATGTGTGTAGGAGAAAAAGAACAAAGTGGAAATGCCCATTCAATTAATCATAAAAGGGAGATACCGTGCATTTGTTGGGGGCAGTAATGCCCCCAAACTGATGCGCATCGTACGGCAAGTAAAAAGATGGAAATGCTGCTATAAATTTGGATATTACAAACAGAGAGCCTGGTGTGCACAAGTCGATGCAATGAACATTGAATGCAGCTCGTTGGAAATAGGTAACAACCAAAGCAATGTGTTTAAATGTTCAAATGTACTTGTAGAAATAACACGATGGCAAGTGTTTTCATATCCTACAATCAGGAAGGAACACTCACGAAATGGAAAGTAGCATCCAGGCAAAATTTGATCCCTGGCATGGGTTTCGACAGATCAAAACAACTGGGTGTAAGGATACCCGAGTTTGCAAATAAATGCTAGCAGATTGCATATTATGTGGCCAAAACGTGCAGTCCGATGAAAGTCTAGGAGCAAGGTTCTAGATGGAGTGCGCAAAAAAATGAGACACTGAAAAGTAGAATGAATGGAAATCAAACTCGGATACTGAGCCAGTAATAAAATGTAAAAAAAAGAGAAGAACCACATGAGAACGAATTAAGCAGCAACTATCCACGACTGTAACAAGATGTGAATGGAAATCCGAAAGTGTTTGTGATGAAACTTATTGCTAGATCATGTGTGATCACGTGTCAAACAAAAAGAGGACTGGGTTACTGTGAATGTTCGTGAGGTGGGTGTTGTCTGAACGCGGCTTCTGGGCTGAATTACGTTCACATCGCGCTGGTGTAACCATAACAACACTGTGGACTAATTGGCCGCTTTCCTTTTCTTCTTCTTGATGTCGACCATGGCGTACATACCTTCATCAGCCTGCTCATCGTCCGACTGTGGGAAGGACGTGTATGGATCGGCGGTGGGCGTGCGTGGCTCTGTAAATGGAACACGGTCGTCATCCTGCACCAGGTGGGATGGCTTGGGTGCTGGCTTCTGTTTTTCCTGTTTCTGTGCATCGACTGCGGCATATGCGTACTGATCAAAGTCTCCTTTAGGTTGACCTTCTGACTTTGGCCTCGGCTTAGGATCGTCTACACAACTGTACACGTCTGTGTCGTCGGTCATTGGTGGATCCGGCTGCTTTGTAACTGGCTTGGCTGCGTCTTTGGCAGCAGGTGTCCGGACGACGACGTCGGCGATGTCAGAATACACCTCAGGTCCTGTTTCCGTGTCCCCTTGCTGATCGCCGTCGTTGCTTGTCTCAGCACTGCACGAGTCGCCGATTGTTCCGTATTGATCCCCTCGGAGACTTGCTACTGACTTGCTGGCCTTGCTGTAAGCCTCCGCTCCACGCTGAACTTCTCGTGAAGCTCCTGAGTTATCCATGATTGTAACAAGGCCTGTTGTGCGAGTGCGCATTACCAAATAGATGACCGTGATCAGTAGAACAACAAGGACCGCGCCAAGCACACCGATGATGGCGACATACACAGTGCTATTGGAAGACTTGCAGGTTGTCGTTGTATCACTGGTAGGAGTTGATTCTGCAGTGGACACAAGTGGAGCAGAGATAAAGACAGTACTGTTTTATTTATCTACGAAGCAAGACTGACGTACGCATCCAATGCACTCTTTCCGTCACTGACACAGCAGCTGCACAGTCGTGTAATCAAATCCAGCAAATTTGACATTCGTGCTATTTTCCGAATGCGCAGCCGTTCATCCACAGCTCCCTTCCCCTCCTCCTGACCTAATCTATTCGATCCCTATCTCACATTTTCACTACAAGGTTCCGTTTTTGTTTGTTTTTCGTTGCCTACATGCGGTCAGATGACAGGTAATACAGGCCGCACATCCTGGCATGATGGCAAAATTACTCAAGGAGAGGAAAGGCGGCTATCACAAGTGCGTTTCGTTACTGGACCTTTTGGTCGTCAGTCATTGACCCGGTGATATTCGATGAGTCATTGACCCGGTGATATTCGCCTCCCCAGGTCGGTTTGTTCTTTTAAACTGGCTCTGGACAGATTTAATTGCAATTTGTGACCAGTGTTAAACGCGCTCCTTCTTGCTCGGCATCCCTTCCTCCATGGGTTCCACTTTGCTCATCTTCACTATAAAAAGCAGTGTGCATGCAACACCCCCTCCCCTCCCCCGCCTCTATTCATCATACACATTACTGCTTGTTAACTCTATGCTCGTTGCACTGCTTACACATGCACACGCCCATGACTTTTGATAACTTCGACGTGATAGCCAAGGTTCCCCTCGAAACGTGGAGGCTTTGTTTATGAAAATCGGCAAAGGAACACCAGCGATATACTTGTTTTAGTGCCACTGTATACTCAACGAGTGAAATCGCTCGTTGAGCGCACAAAGGGTTAATTCATAAAGATTATATGCTTTGGAATTCTCATGTTATGATTCTTTTTATTATTTCCTTCTCTCGTAACAATATATTATTCCTTCTTGGTAGGAACCGGAGGTTTTTTCCTCTGGGGATAATGCAGAATTACCTGTGATTTAAACGAATTCAAATAAAAGAAACATGGAAACAAACCAACAAACCTTTGCAAGTCTGACCATTATTGGTCCAGGTGCCATTCGCACTACAGGTGATGGTTCTGTTGCCATGGAGTTCATACGTCGAGTTACAGATGATAATTGCCATGGTTCCAAATGTTGGCGTGATGTGCCCAACCAACACTGAACCACTCTGCACTATTGGCGTACCTTTGCACCGCACAGCTGAAACAGAGCAGAAATTCAAGTGCCTTTTACGAGTATTTGCAAAGATTTCTACACAATCAAACCCACTGTTTTCGACACTTTTCGGCCGGTCGATTTTAGAAAATGCCTACTGGACAGGCTACGAACAAAATGCCATCAAGACAACACTGCCTGACATTGGAAGGGTTTTTGGGACTGGACGAATTAGGCGTGTTAGCATCCCTGGAGGCCAGAGGAAATACCTCTCTGATAATACAAATATTTAAAAATGTCTGTTGATAATAGCCGATTTGAAGCACTGTTGCATCCCAAGCCCCCACCCCAACCCCACCCCTTCTCTGAGGTACGTCCAGAAGTAGGTAGAGGTACACGACAGGTACATATTAGAACACCTCTTCTGACGCCGAGGACATCTCCACTATGTTCGTTTTTGATCTTTCTTGAAAATTTAATAATGTTGTTGACCATAAACCCCTCCAGTCCATGATTCCGAAATAGATCCCCTGCGCCCGCCCCTCTGCGAGTTATAATCAGTGATTTCTACTTCACCACTACTACGTACCATCAGTCCCTGCGCGTTACCAACGTGCGTGATTAGGGATAAAGCGCGCGAACTGTGGTGTGTTGGATTATGGAGCTGGCATTATTTTGTCATAAGGCACTTGACTTTACAGCTCCTTGTGAGCTAAAATTATGTAAAGATGGAAGACAAGGGATTTCAGTCAGTTCATATGAACTTATCCGCAAGCAGCGCACAGCAATTCAGTGCACCGCAACTCAGCTTCTTTCGCAAGGCTGCCATGGCTCTCAATTCTGAATGCCGTGCAGTAGTGTACAGTCTGTGTTTGGCCGATCTTCGAATATGGTATGCTGCTAGCACCATCCGTACTAGCAAAGGTCACGGCCATTCACCGTAGTGCACTCCATGCCATCGATGATGGCTGCCACCTGCCCGGCCTGGACATCTGTTGTACTGTTGCTAACCTCGCCTATCTCTTCAAGGTCCACTATTTGACTGGCCCTGCCATGGTTACAGCCCTCATATCCACGACAGTTCCAGCCCGGGCCCGCACGCTAGCCTGCGTTTGCACAATTGCGAGCCACCACCCGTCCAAGGTGACCAAGACTGTCCCACCTCAGTCTCGAAACGATGACCTTCGGTCCTTCCCTCACTGAATGATGGACACCGCCTCCTAGCCTTTATTATGTCCTCCCTTTCAGAAGGGGATGCAGACCTTCAAGAAAAGGGTCTACGTCCACCTGCGGCATTCTGACTGGGATTGGACAACCGACCGCCTCTAGCCTCTTCAGGGAGTGAGCCAAATTATTGCCAATCCTTAGTGGCCAAATCCCACTTCTGCCTCTAATACAAACTTCACTTGACCCTTTTCTTTCACTCCCATGGTCTGTTAGATCAATCATATTGCTAATATTCCAAGAGAACAGTGCATAACCTTAAAGTTCCTGGAGCAGCACGGCCTAGCCATGCGAGTATTCCGCCCTCAGACACGAGGGCCAGCACCTCCCAACGCCGCATGAAACCATCATGAAACTAGCGCTGATTATGCAATACAATGATAATACAAGCTACGTACGGAATAAGGAAAAAAATGTAAACCAACAGTAAACTGAACAAGTCTTAAACCACTGAGAGCATATCCCGTGATTTCTTCATTTTATTTTTTTGAAACCCAATTCTGTTTGGAAAAAATACTTAGGTGGTGTTCCATTGAGGAATCGTTTTCCGGGCATGATCTATTCTCCATCCTGCACACCTACCGTTCCTTCCAACCCTCCCAATTTTATATCCATCCGCATCCTCAATCTTCTGTGCGGTATTTGTCGAACGTGCATTCAGAGTGCTGAGTGTCCATGGCATGCAGCAGAAGTGGCGGAAATCTTACGTTGGCAGTGTGGAACAGATTTCCAATTTGAAGGTGACACGCAAGATATTGTGGGGCTGCCCTGTCGTACGAATCCTTCCTTGCAACCGACATAAAACACTTCACCGGTTGACGCATTCAAGCCAGACACATTGCTATTAGGTATAATTGGTTCTTGACACGGATCACCTGAAATTACGCAAACAGAAAAACGTCTTGGGCAGCCTACCCACTATGCTGGCTCTCAGGACATGATTTACAAGTTCTTGCGCCTCGTGGCTCAAAAACGTGATTTTGGACTTGCAGCAAAATTCTGCACACTTTCGCGTGTTTCCATTATACGAAAAGTTGCGCACGGTCTGCTCACATTCAAATACAGTGCTGCCAACAAATGGCAGCGTGCAACAAAAAAATCTTTCCTTGCAAGGGCACTTTTTAGGCCATAACTCTTGAACGGCTGGTCAGATCGGGACACAATTTTCAGAGAATTTGCAGCTATTCAAGCTCTTTCAACTGATGTAGCACTCAATATGAATTTACAAATTCGATTTTTCAGCGAATTTTGGGTAGTTTGCCGTCTTAAACAGTCGACATCATCATACATTCTCCAAATCTTGATGAACAACGACAACGAAAAGTCTACAGATGAAACGATAAGTGCAAACCGTTCCCCTCATAAAATAATTTTTGGTGATTATTTTTGGGTACAAAAAATATGTTCTAACCGTTGCACGTTGCATTCGTGTTCCACACACCATCCGCCCGACACGTGGCATTTGAAGAACCAGCTAGTGAATATCCAATACTGCATGTCACGGTGGCTTGTTCATTGGCGATGCCGTCCGGTGGTTGAAGAAATCCATTGTTAATGGTTGTCGAGGAAGAGTTGCAAACAATTTCTGAAAAGAAGTAACAAAAGTGTAAATCATGCTCTGAAAAGCTCATAGTTGCTAATAGTCCATTTACAGCAGAATACCTGGACAAATTTGTTTTATTATTTCATAACCGAATACAATAAGGCTGCGTTCGGTTTTAGCTAAGATCACGGGTCCGGAGTTTGGGTTCCCAGCCTGGAGCACCGCAGAATGGTTGCATCCCTGTCGCTCCTCTTCAAGCTAACGTATCTGCCCCCGACAAATCACCTAAAAGGCCATTCTACCAGCCCCAGCCGACTAGGGTCTAGCGGATAATGCCGACATTATATTCCGCATTATATCACTATACGAGCATCAGAGCATTAAAAGTAAAAGTAAATTATCGTGTCCGTTCTCGAAGGGAACTCACGACGGCCGCTAAAGACCCGATAAACCCTGGCGGCAGATGCAGCGCCTAACGGTGGGGGTGAGTGGATAAGTCTCACAACCACAACACAAGTGCCGAAACTGCATCCATGTGCCCCTTGTGCCTGGCCACAAGTTTCCAGTTGACTGTGAGTAGCAGCACGGCTGGAAAAACCGCTCCTAGGCAGGACTTGAACCAGGTACCTCTCGTACCTCAATCACGGTCTTTGACCAACCCACTGTGCCTACCTGGTGCATTAGAAAGAAACAAAACGTGCATTATGTGCGGTTTGAGCGGCATAACGAGTTTCATAGTGGATAATACCGGGAAATCCCAGGATTTTGGCAGCAATCGGCTACAGTCATGGTCATGAGGTGCAACCCTATGCATTGCAGATCTACCAACACATGATAACTTTGTAATTGTGTAGACATGTAACACCTTCAGCACTAATGCTAGTACATAATTATACACATGTACATTTGCCTGATCACATTGCTACATAAAGACGGTATGATTATAGCGATGTGGTCAGGTAAATGTATACAAGCCAAGCTTATGCCCAAGCCATCCGAGGCAGGTACACAAATCCGAAAAAATGGTTTAAGAGTTTATTTTTTAGAATGATGGAGAACTATGGAGGAGATGTACGCGAAGTGAATATCAAACAGACGAAGAGGAGTTTTCTCGTTGTTCCGTAGGCTCTGGGGATAGCGTCCCTAAGGATACTAAAGTAGACACTGATGCACTGAAAAATTTGGACCATGATGAAGGAGCGGCTATAAACAGAAAGAGCTCGTTCCAAAAGAACTGCCTTTGCCGCACCGCTGAGCAGGCTAAAAAACTAGAATTTCTCATGGTCTCAGTACTAAGTCGATTTGAGCGCTCAGCAGCGCATGCCTTACTTTCCTCGTGAAGCACGTACAGTTAGTTATGGACAGTTGTAATGCCAGGCCTAAAGTCAATGCTATCAGAAAAGAAAAGTATTGTGGCCAACCGTATGTCCACACACCATCTCAAGGAGAAGAAGACAGCACAATCAAAAATGTAGAGCGGCAAAATAACTTCTGACCACGTGTTTTCAGGATTTCCGTAAATGGGAGGGATCTCGATCTGAGATCAGCACTCAGGTGCTGGCCTCACGTCTGGTGTTCCAGATGAAGACATTTTACCCAGAGTGGAAGGAGTTAAAGCTTGTCTATAGGGAGGTCGAGGTATACTATTTGCCAAGGCAAACTTCATCCCAACAATGAATGACTACCCGCAATAAAGTTCAGCTCTCCTACATGGATAATTAGGGAAAATATTTCGGGTGCACCAACTATTCTGCCACAACTCTGCATCAAAGTTGGAATGGAGAGCAGCCTATGGAGAGGCAATCATGTCTTATAGTGCGAAGAAGTGGTGGAGCTCGTGAGAGATAAGGTGGCAGCTCCAGTGGCAGATCGGTGACATGCATAACTTCCTAGACGTTTGACAATGTGCAGACTTTCTTCCATTTTTGTCCCAACCAAGAGCATTATAGCCCTTGCTGAAGCATTATAATCAGCATTATAAGGTAGTTTTAGGAGAATTATGGTTAACATTATACGGAGATTTTCTGAGCATTATCCGCTGGACCCTACAGCCGACCCACGCCCTCCATGCAGACCATCAGGCTGCCTACTAAAATAGCTCAGCAATACAAGAAACAGCCAAAATCAACACTCCCGGCACGCACCCGTAGCAGCCTGCGCAATGGGTTCCCCGATTGCGCCATCCCAACGTGGAACAGCCTGCGGAGAAATGTCTTGCGATCTGCACCGCACCCACAACAGCTGCAGTCCTTCAAGGAAAGATGCCATAAGTACCTGCTGCGCCTTGACTGGCAGAGAGCAACTGACGCTCTTTGACTTCCTTAGCTTAAGTTCTGATTGACCTCCATTTCACTATCCAACATATCTTTTGTCTTTACCCCTCTGCAGTGGATGTGTAGGCGTTAATAGTGGGCGCTGCACTTCCGTATGCTTGTCTTGCTCTCGTCTTGTTCTTCTCTTTCTCTCTCTCTCTCTCTCTCTCTCTCTCTCTCTCTCTCTCTCTCTCTCTCTCTCTCTCTCTCTCTCTCTCTCTCTCTCTCTCTCTCTCTCTCTCTCTCTCTTATGTCCTTCTATATTTTCTTGGCCCCCTTTGTTTTTGCAGACGCCGGCACCACCACGGTCGGTTGAGTAGCAGGGCCCCGCCACAACTTTCCGCATTCATTCGGGAGCATAGTGGACTTAGAAAAAAAAGAAAAAAAGGGTTAGAGTAGAGTAGAGTAGAGTCACTCTACCAGTAGAAGTAGACTGTAGAATTAAGTGCACGGGCGCTTTTCTACCGGATTTAGTAGTTTTACACGATATGTACGCGAACTTCTACCAACTTCTACAGGCTTCTCCCAACTTTTTCCTGGTAGAGCCGATAGAGGAAAGTAGAAATTACGCTTTAAGTAGAAAAACGCACACCTCTACCGAAATAAGTAGTTTATACTCTAACCTGTAGATCAGAAACAAAACGAAACGAAGCTAAATCGACATTTGTGTATACTTTATTCATGAAATTTAAAAAGGTAATTTTTTACTAAAAGCCATGTGGTGCACGCCATGGGAACATGCAGCAGCCATGGTGTTGGGGGCCAGGTGCTCCGTCGACCAACTGGCCTCAACATCTTTGCGCTCTGGACGCACTAGATAATTGGAAGTATGAGGGTTTCGCTACCTTGTCATTGGGAAGAAATTCCCGTTTGGATTTTGCGAAGTAAAACAAAGTTCCAAAAAAAAGGGAAAGAGAAAGAACAGGGGAAGTGGGAGGGGAAGGAGAGGGGAGGGGGTAGATTGAGAGGTGGATCGTTTTATTGCACGCCGTTTTACATTGCATGAATAAAGTAGACACAAATATGGATTCAGCTTGTCTTAATATTGATCGCAGTTATCAAAATTATTGTCTCCTCGCCCTTTATACTTTATAATTATTTATTCATATTTCTGTAGGGCAGTTCCCAGTGACCTATGGTCTCCTTAGGGCGCGTTCAGACTACCGATAAAAAGTGACGGAATGGAAAAGTTGCCAAGGTGATTTGATCACGTGACGTTACTGGCACGTTACCGACGGGAAAGTTTTACTGGCGCGTCTGCTGCGCTGGGAACAGGTTGCCGGCAGTAAAAAAGTGGAGCACGTGCTAGTTTGGACTCTTGTCTACCACGCACTTCTGCGGTTTCGACTCCTCTATGGTGTGTGACTATTTTAGTATTTCCCCTGGCTGTGACTCGACTCTATTCAGCACCAGTGTTTTCACGATGCCGAAGTCACTATTTGACCAGGGCATGGAGAAGGAGATCATGCGCCTATACGTGGAAGTCTTTGCTGGTTCGTCAGGCAAAACATTGACCACTGTAGAGAAGCAAACTATGATAGCGGACAAGCTGAACTACATGGGGAAGCTTGTGGGGTGGCCTACTGTCACAGCATCAAATGTGGAGCATAAGATAGATTCCGTTCGAAGGAAGGGCAAGAAGATGTACCGGACATTTAGGCTGAAAACCCGCACAGGTGCTCCTGTGGAAAGTGATTTCGACCTCAAGGTAATCATGAATGATTATGTGTCTTATATTTATCATAATTATTTATTTCATCCTCCTACATGTACATGTGTACTACTGACGATGTACTCCTGCATATCTCAGGGACTGTTGACATGCATGAGTGTGTGGATTTGTATACACTCCTATGCGTACTGCAAATGACATGCAAATGACATGCATATTTATTTCGTGCTGCTCCCGCGTTCTTGCAGGCTGCGTACAAAGATTGGGCGAATTTCCCTCAATACCACTCCCTCTTCTTCAAGAATCAGTCTTTTGGACCAGGCGGGAACAATGTAGATACTGCTATCAGCGACGAAGGAGCAGAAGAAGCCCAGGCAGAAGCTCCACCAGCCCCACCAGCCCCTGTCACACCGGTGCAAGTAAACATGCCTGGTGTCGGACAGAAAACTCCGCATGGTGACTCTGATTCGGAATCAGATCTGGAGCCGGGCAGGAAGCCAAGTCGAAAGACCACACGCAAGCGGCCAGCATCAACAGACAATTCATTCGCAGCCATCCAGTTGGAAATGCGCAAGGAAGAAATAGCAGCAGAGGAAAGAAGAGTGTTGGCGCAGCAGGAGTTCCAGCTGCGTATTGAGACACATAGAGAAGAAGCCGAAGACCGACGAGAGAGAGAACGCAGACAGTATGAGGAAACCAAAGCAAGAGAACAGAGAGAATACGATGAAGCCAAAGCAAAAGAGAATAGAGAGTACGAGGAGAAGAAAGAAGAACAGAGAGAAAAGAGAGCTGCTGGCGTCAGGCAGTCAGAGAAGGAATTCAACGCATCCCTGCTTGTGAAGCTGTTCTCAAAATAAACTCCCTGCATGATGTCACATACTCCTCGCCTTGTCAGGTGTGTCTTGTTTTTCTCCTTCTAGTTCTACACTTTTATTCTGCACCTGCGAGCAAGTGCACAAAGAATGATGATGATAGTATTGCATTGACCAAACTAACGTGATAGCCTGCAGTAGCAGTTACGTTGTGAACTTGCATGGTTTTGATTGTAATAGTAACTACTATACAGTACTACAGTCTGCTATCACAGCATTGAAGAGATTGCAAAGCGGACATCGCCCCCGCCAGGTAGATCTGCAGGTGCCGCTGGTGGCAATTCTGGTCCTATGCGAATGTAATTTGCTTCGTCGGCATTCCATGTCGTACTGTACTCGCAATTGGCTCTCTGGCAGATATTGTGGAGAGCTCCACAGATCAATGCAACGTCTCTCATAAAAGCCGGGTCTCGGATGAAATTCTCAATGAGAAAATGCCAACGCCCTTTATAGAAGCCAAACGCGTTCTCAATTTTCTGTCGGGATGATATCAGTGCCTTGTTGAACCTTGTCTGGTGTTGGAAGCGTGCCTGGTCGTAGCACTTCATCAGTTGAGGCTCTAGAGGGAACGCACTGTCACCTATCAAATAGGGACGAACAGTGGTGCCATCAAAGTTGCGGTGCAAATCTTGGAGCCACCGGCCACCAACAATACGTCGGCGCAGAGAGCTTTCTGCGTAGCTGAAAGCATCTCCCACGCAACCACCTCTGCCGACATCCACGAAAGTGAATTGGCAGCGGTGATCGCACACTGCCAACATATGAATTGCTATCAAGTTTTTATAGCACCAATAGTTGTCTCCCCAGAGAGCAGGCTTCTTGATATGCACAAAAGTACCATCGATCGCACCAGCACACATGGGCAGCTGAGCTAGATCACTGAAGCCAGCGATGACGTCCTCCAGCTCCCTACCAGAAGGGAACTTGATGGCTGCTGGTACCAGGATGTTTTTAAAAACACTGACTGCAGCATGCACAATATCATGGGCAGTTGACGCCCCAATGCAATACAGCTCGCCTAGCTGGTCAAACGTAAGACCATGCGCAAGCCAGTGCATACAAATTGCCAGGCGCTTGGCAGGGGGTACAGGTGTCCGAAACCTAGTTGACTCTTGCTGTAGGTCATTGCAGGTTTGACGGAGCAGGAACTCAAACGTCCGACAGTCTACTCTGTATGTGCGCAAATAACGCATGTCCAAATAGTCGTCAGCGTCTCCTGGCATCCCAAATTCGTCCGCAATGCGATGCCATTGCTTCACTTTGGTCTCCCAGAAACCCAGTTGGCCACCAGTGTGGTGAATTGACCACCAGCGCCGCTCTCGCCTCATGGACGAGGCAGCATCCTCCGCTGCAAGAAGAAGAAGAACGTCATGGCGTGAAGATCGGCGAGAAACTTGAAGATTCACACTATCGTGGCTTCGCAGGGAGCGATACCTGGACTTAACACTACGGACAGGTCGATGCACGTGGGTTTGCAACAGTCTACTTCGGGCAGAGACACCCTCTTCTCTACCACTACTTTGCTGCAAAAGAGAAAGGCCAGCGAACATAGCAGCCATACTCTACTGGAGGGAGGGGAAATTCAGACGACTCAATAACTTTTAGAACTTAGCTGTGCGATGGAAACTTACACACTGTATTTGAACTTCACGGGCCGCTATATACCTATGCGCCACGTCACTGCGAAAGAGAAAGACCAGCGAACATAGCAGCCATACTCTACTGGAGGAATATTCAGACGACTCAATGTACTATAATAACTAACTTCTAGAACTTAGCTGTGCGATGTGAACTAATACACACTGTATTTGAACTTCGCGGGCCGTTATATACCTAGTACCTATGCACGATTCGGCAAAAAAACTTTTCCAAACTGCCCCCCCCCCCCCGCACGGACGCCATATTGGTTGGCATGGCAAAAGATGCTCGGGCTGTCAGTAGGGGGAAATCCCTTTTCGGTGCCGCGGTGAGAGCTGCACAAGTTTACCGGTAGTGTGAATGCCGTTCACGGTTTGACGGGGTTCACGGTTTGACGGGGTTAACGGTAGTCTGAACGCGCCCTTACGGGGTACCCTAGCCAATCTAGGATTGCGATATGAACTTGACTTGGTGAAGCAGCAGTTCGGACCTATGACGGAACTGAGTTCCAGGGGTCAGAGGCTAAAAAAGAAAGAGAGAAGTAACCAAATCGAGAGGCGGCTCGTGGCAGTACAAGTCCAAGAGAGTTTTGGGGCATTGTGCAAGTGGAGCTACGTGCCTTAGAATTGTACTTCAGTACGAAGGCAGAAATAGCAGCATAGAAATGCACTGCCAGAAGAATGAACGCAACTGAATTTAAGAAGACACTTTTTATTGAGAAACGGATTGTTATGAATATCAGGCTGTTTCGAGATAGACTACACTGAACATCTGCGGGGGCGGGTAGCCAAATACAGTACAATCATAATGAACGGCGAGTAATGCAGATGGGAAAATCATATTCATGTTGTCGCAGACTGTGTACATAAGCATGGCTTGCATATTCCAGTGTAGATTCGGACAAAATAAATTGGATTGGACAAAAGAAATGTGCGGTTGGCTGCCATTGGGTCAGCATGGTGCGGCACCCCGGAATACATAATTTTTTGATTTTCGAAATCTGAAGAAGACTTTTATAGTTCGCTGCTGAGACGACGACTACACCATAGCTTCGTGGTAGAGCATCGCTGAACATAACCTCGGGTCCCTGGCTCGGGATCTGGTGGTGACCGTCAATTATTGTTTCTTCAGACGTTTCCTGTTTGCAACTCCCTCAAACTTACGAACATTCCCATTTTAGTTTCACAAGTGATACATGCCAGTGTCAAGTGTGGAAGTGTACCTGAAGCCTAGCTGGTCGTTATCGTGGTGTTGCAGCATGAAAGCAGCTCAGAAGATCTCTGCTTCCTTGTTTCATACCCAAGTGGGTACATTTCTAAATCTGGCGGAAAGAAGGTAAGTGCAAGTCCGCTCGCGTAGCGCTCTCTATCTTGTAACACATTCCGGTAAAGAGCGCTCTTTATCTCTCATCACCATGATCTTTGCGTTTGCTAAAGGCACCTAAGAGTTGCATGATGAGGTCTACATAGCGGGCTTGTTCATCAGCTCAATGGCGCATAGTCTATGATACAACGACGAGTTGAATCAGGTTACGACGTCCATTTTCTCTCTCCAGGACTCTTTAGACAATCATGGACATCTGGGAAAGGTGCCTGAACAGCGTAATTTCTGCAGAACGTGCGCGGTGCGTTTTATACCTGTTTGTATACATAAAATCATGGTAGATGCATGCAGACACATGCATCATAACGTGAAAAGGCCTCACTCCTAGACATAGTGTCATGCAATATTCCATCCTTAACCACCAATATGGAAATAGCATTCAAATTGTGTTGTTTTACAAGATAGCCACAAACGAGAGTGAAGGAAACGATCATTGTGCAACCGCCCGCAAAAACGCACCGATGTACACAAAGTGATGGAAGCCGAACCATGGAGGTGGCCAAGAGCAGCTAAAGCGACTAAGGGTGTCAGGATCATCACTCCTTATGTACGCCATACAGAAAATACGGAAATAGAACAAATGAGCTACAGGAGAAGTCCAGAGGGTTGTAAAGTTCCAAAGGGCTGGGACTCTATGCCCACTCAAGTCTTACCAAATGGAATGAATAAAGTACTCACTTTCACAGGTCGTGATTCGCTTTGAAATCGATGATGAAACACAAGTGTAATGCGGCGAGGTGTAAAGTCGATATCCGGATTTGCAGGAAAGTCTGCGAACCATAGAGTTAACATTGGGTTGAGAGTATCCATTCTCCAGAGTTGAGCGATCACATGTCCCGGAATAGGCTACAAGCATAATCCAGTGAAAGAAGAAAGGAGTAAATCCACGGGCAAAATCAAAGGAACAAGGAAGAGAGGTGATAGAAACAGCCCAAGGAAGAAAAGCTTAATGAACAGCAAAGAATGCGTGGCCCATAAATATAGAAAGAAAGTGGGAACAGGGGCAAGTTTGAGGTGAACTAACAAGCGTAGAATGTGCTGATTCTAGCACGTCCACACTTTCCTTTGTCCTACTTACCCGGCACCCCTTTAGGAGCTGCATCTGCGCCTTGGTCTCCAAGGGCGGTGGTGTTATTATGTATGCGGCAAACCCGGTCTACCGGAAACTAATGCAAACCGCAACTTAGTTGTTTTATTACAACTGCATGAATGTGTCAGAAGCCAGAGATATTCCGAAAACCTTTTTTATCCGTACCAACATTCTGTGCATTTTCTCGCTTCCTTTGAAGACTTAGTGCAGCACTGATCATTAAACTAAATCTGGTGTTGTACTTACCAGTACAGGTAGGTAGAGCAGTTGTCGTTGTTTCATTTAGACACGAAACCGTCTCCTGCCCAATTTGTTCGAAGCCATCGAAACAAGCAGCCTTGAAGGCTGGAGCAGTACCCGTCAAAATCCCATTGGCGATATGCGGTGCACGGCATATGTTGGCTAGAGCATACGAAACGGGGTAAACCAAGAGCACAGGAAGAGACGATAGTCATATTTGACATGTACATCGTGTATGCAGGGATCTGTTCACAAACACAGGGAGAGCACTAGGGGAATTTTGAGACAGTGCATAGACAATAATTGTCTATGCACTGTCTCAAAATTCTTTTGAATTTTATTGACGTTTTAGAGCCTGTATGATGTACTGAAATTGGCCACTATGTATGGGATATTAAAATTTAGAGTTGGGCGCTGTGTTGAATGGGTTTCTCTGAAGTACAATACCCCATATGTTGTTACGATTGTCCATATTGCCGTGATGTAAAACGAAGAAAAATAAGTACACTTAGCGGTTAACGAATCATACTCCGAAATGACCAGATTATTATCCAGCGAATTCTGGCAGGATGCTCGGGAAAACAGCCAATTCTGCTTTACATGCTTCACCAAAAAGGCCAACAGAACAAGTAATCGCAACGAGAAAAGGACTCAGACCATTGTTCTTACGTGGACTGGGAGCTTTGTGGAAGTACGGGACAATAATATGCAACAGGAATACCAAATTCACAAGCAAACGCTGTATTTTTGGGACATGTCCTAGAGTGGCTTCGGAAATATTATTCCACATCCATTCCATTTTTAGTCCGTGAGGCAAGTGCCAGAAAGTGAAATCGCCTCACCCCCCCCCCCCCCGTGCACTGATTCACTGAGCAGCCTCGAAAATGTTGGAAGTCCAGGAGACGTGCGATAGCCTCGCTGCGAGGCTTTGTTTCCTTCGCCAATTGCCGAATTAAGACGTAGATTTAGTATCTAAACCTCTCCGGTTTGTCATAATTAATTGACTATAAGTCGCTATCGCTCGATGTCACAAGGGTTGCGTGGTGGAATCAGGTTTCATGCTGTGAAAATCAAGCGGAAGCCTGCTAAACTTTTGCAGGTTTTTGGAGCTGTGCTCTAAATATTTTGTTGCTGTTCCCAATTTCAGTTTAGTCTTTTCCTTTTCAACAAATCACGAACCTTATTTACCTTCCTTGATGCAAAAGTCACTCTACATTATTGTAGTGCAGTAAGTATCGCTATTGCGGAGTTGATCATTCTGCCCGTAAATCAACGACTCTGCAGCGAAGTAACTAGTAAGCCATTAGGTAGTAGGGGAGATTGATATCAAGCAGCAGATCTCCTTTCTTCTTTGACCTTCTGGTACGCTACGGTGATAACCATGAAGAGTTGGCGTCATCCACTGAATCGTAATGGCTGTGTTCTTCGTGAATGCCAACGAGAAAGTTTAGCACAGACATGAGGAAGCCGACAGAAGAATTATTTGTGCATCATGCTGCCCGGCGACCAGTTCCGGAAGTCGCTGGACAAGACATGAACAGTTTGACGAACTCACCATTCCGTATTAGATCATGACCAGTGTAGCTTTCTTTAACGTCTGTAGCCTTAGGAGAAAATAGCAGAAATTGAAGACTTTATCTCAACCCGTGGAGTACACATCCTAGGCATTGCGGAAACTTGGCTGTCAGCCGATGTAACAGACGGAGAAGTAAACATCCCTAATTTCAGTGTGTTCCGCAAAGATCGGGAACGCAGGCAAGGTCGCGGCGTTACCTTCTACTGTCATACGTCCTCGCAAGCCCGTCAAAGAGGTGACCTCGAGTGTGAGCTGGAGATGCTGTGGCTGGAGATTCTAGCCCCAGGTCGACCAGGCAATGAGACGGTCTTACTGGGCTGCTGCTATCGACCACCTAGTGAATCTGCGGGCTACTGGGATGGGCTGGAGTCAAACCTAGAGACTGCCTGCAGTGGACCGCAGACCACAACTGTCCTAGTAGGAGACTTCAACGTAAACTGAGAACTTCCCATGCTGTGACTCCTTTGCATCATGTACTCAACCAGTTTAACCTTCGCAACCACGTCACATCTCCTACCCGTGTGACCAGCAGCACTTCCACACTACTGGATCTATTCTTGTCTACCACCGCGATCCAAGGTGTTTGCGAGACTATACATTTGGATATCAGTGACCACTCTGCAATACTTGCTCTGTCTGTGTGGATGCGCTTGCGTCGTCACTCACTGCGGAAATCCAGACCACTCTAGACAAACATGCTCCACTTCGGGAACGGCGCCGCAAATCTCGACGTCCTAGCCCCTGGATTCCAGGTGAGTTAGTAATAATATAATATTTGAAACTCGGATGTGGAGCCATAAATAAATGTAGAAAGGAAAAGGACATAATCTTTGATATTAATTTTATGACCCACCCAAGTTGGGTGGTGTGCTGCTTTGCTGCTTCGAATTGTAGTTAGACCGCTTTGTCAAATATCGTACTGGTCTCGTCATCGTCCAGTAACAATCGACATTCTTTGTTCCGTTGGGACTGTAGCTTTTGCTCGTTTTCGTTGCGTTTGCCTTCCCCTCTTTGGTCTTTTCAAAACCTTGAACCTTCCAAGTTGGAAGGCTTTCGGTTAGCGCTACGGAGATGTGTTGAAGCTAGCTATCAGGACGTCGAATGTCTCAGTACTCTTGCCAGTTTTGTGCCTAGTTATTGCACTTTCTGACTGTATATAGCATCCAGTTACAGTGATGGAGAGTTACTCTTAACTCGTATCCATATGTCCTTTTCCTTTCTACATATAAATAATATAATAATAATCTTTATTCCCGTAGCTATGCAGAAGACGTTACTTCAGTAACGTCTGGCGCTAGCCAGGGTCCACACAGCTTTAATTTGTTTGTTTATTCCCGTAGCTATGCAGAAGACGTTACTTCAGTAACGTCTGGCGCTAGCCAGGGTCCACACAGCTTTAATTTGGTGTTTGTTTGTGTGTTTGTTTGTTTGTGTCACGCCTGGCGCTATTTTGTATCTATCCCGTACTGTACCGTACCAGCAAAGACAGCTGGCCACAATATTTTTGTTTGTTTGTGCCATCGACATGCCTGGCGCTATCCCGTACCTGTCCCGTATCATCAAGAGTACGGTACCATCAAGAGAATGAGTATATATGCGAAGTGTATGGGGGGAATGCATTCAGTGCAGTAACATTAAATTTTGTGTGGATTTGTGTGCGAGGCCGAGATCCCACTAGCAGGCTGGCTGGGCCGCCTGTCGACCAGCCCGGAAATCGCATGTAGGCCGATAGCATAATAATTATAACGTATGTACAGTCATGTAGATGTATAGCAGGGAGTCATATTATGTAAACGACTCCCTGCTGTATGGGGAGATTTTCTGGAAAGAAATACGAAGTAGGGAGACGAGTAAATGCAATCAGAATGGATGTTAGTTGCCGTCAGTATAATAATAATAAGAAGAAGAAGAATAAGAACGCCCGTGATCGGCAGAGTCAGCGCCGGTCCCAGGAAACGTCAGGACAGACATCCCGTCGACTCCAGAACGCCCGTCATCGGCAGAGTCAGCGCCGGTCCCATAGCTATGCAGAAGACGTTACTTGTACTTCAGTATCTCATTGAAACGTTTTTGCAAAACAATGATTTAGCTAATCAAAGGAAAAAGCATTTCCATCAGTTCTAACAACATGCACGATGAGCTAGGCAACAAAGCATAGCGCAGGGCCCTGAGCTTCCAAGCTCTCTCGTTTGTGTGTTTGTTTGTTTGTTTGTGTCACGCCTGGCGCTATCCGTATCTGACGGCAAAAAAGCATAGGATGTTATACATTTTTCAATTCTCCTATTTTTTTCCAGGCATAACCTGGGATTCGAACCGGCACTATCGCCCTACATGCATTCCCCCACACACTTCGCATTCATACCCATTCTTCCAAGTTGTTTCACATTGTGATCTTGCATTTGAAAGCCCTATGTACCTATCCCCTACCGTGCCATCAAAGACGGCTGGCCACAATGCATATACAAATAGGGCTTTCAAATGCAAGATCACAACATGAAACAACTTGGAAGAATTAGTGTGTATGCGAAGTGTATCGGGGGATGCATGCAGGGCGCGCAATAGTGTAGGTTCGAATCCCAGGTTATGTCTTTAAAAAAAGGATATTTTTAAAGAATTTATAACATCCCTATGCTTTTTTTTTCTAGGTCATCAAGGCAAAAAAGCATAGCGTAGGGCCCTGAGCTTCCAAGCTCTCTCGTTTCAGGATTACCTTGTATATACATGTACACTAATACGAGGCGTCAGCCTTCGGGTAATCCTGAAACGAGAGAGCTTGGAAGCTCAGGGCCCTAAGCTATGCTTTTTTGCCTTGATGACCTAGACAAGAAAAAGCATAGGGATGTTATAAATTCTTTAAAAAATTCCTTTTTTTTAAGACATAACCTGGGACTCGAACCCGCACTATCGCGCGCCCTGCATGCATCCCCCGATACACTTCGCATGCATACTAATTCTTCCAAGTTGCTTCACATTATGATCTTGCATTTGAAAGCCCTATTTGAATATGCATTGTGGCCAGCCGTCTTTGATGGTACGGTACGGTAGGGATAGGTACGGGACAGGTACGATCGAGGGTAATACGACACCGTCTTCCGTACCGTACCATCAGACACAGCTGGCCACATACAGCAAAATATAGGAGAATTGAAAAATGTATAACATCCCTATGATTTTTTTGCCGTCAGATACGGGATAGCGCCAGGCGTGACACAAACAAACAAACAAACACACAAATACCAAACGAGAGAGCTTGGAAGCTCAGGGCCCTGCGCTATGCTTTGTTGCCTAGCTCATCGTGCATGTTGTTAGAACTGGTGGAAATGCTTTTTCCTTTGATTAGCTTCATCATTGTATTGCCAAAACGTTTCAATGAGATACTGAAGTAACGTCTTCTGCATAGCTTCAGGACCGGCGCTGACTCTGCCGATCACGGGCGTTCTGCAGTCGATGACGTTTCCTGGGACCGGCGCTTACTCTGCCGATCACGGGCGTTTATCTTCTTATCATTATTATACTGGCGGCAACCAACATCCATTCTGATTGCATTTACTCGTCTCCCTACTTCGTATTTCTTTCCAGAAAATCTCCCCATACAGCAGGGAGTCGTTTACATAATATGATTCCCTACTCTACATCTACATGACTGTATAATTATACGTTATAGTTATTATGCTATCCGCCTACATGCGATTCCCGGGCAGGTCGACAGGCGGCCCAGCCAGCCTGCTAATGTGATCTCGGCCTCGCACACAAATCCACACAAAATGTTACTGCACTGAATGCATTCCCCCGATACACTTCACATATATACTAATGTCTTATTCTCTTGATGGTACCGTACTCTTGATGGTACGGGACAGGTACGGGATAGCGCCAGGTATGTCGATGGCACAAACACACAAAAATATTGTGGCCAGCTGTCTTTGCTGGTACGGTACAGTACGGGAAAGATACGGGATAGCGCCAGGCGTGACACAAACAAACAAACAAACAAACACCAAACGAGAGACCTTGGAAGCTCAGGGCCCTGCGCTATGCTTTGTTGCCTAGCTCATCGCGCATGTTGTTAGAACTGATGGAAATGCTTTTTCCTTTGATTAGCTACATCATTGTATTGCCAAAACGTTTCAATGAGATACTGAAGTACAAGTAACGTCTTCTGCATAGCTATGGGACCGGCGCTGACTCTGCCGATCACGGGCGTTCTGGAGTCGACGGGATGTCTGTCGTGACGTTTTCTGGGACCGGCGCTGACTCTGCCGATCACGGGCGTTCTTCTTCTTCTTATTATTATTATACTGACGGCAACTAACATCCATTCTGATCGCATTTACTCGTCTCCCTACTTCGTATTTCTTTCCAGAAAATCTCCCCATACAGCAGGGAGTCGTTTACATAATATGACTCCCTGCTATACATATTATGCTATCGGCCTACATGCGATTCCCGGGCTGGTCGACAGGCGGCCCAGCCAGCCTGCTAGTGGGATCTCGGCCTCGCACACAAATCCTTACAAAATTAAATGGTACTGCACTGAATGCATTCCCCCCGTACACTTCGCATATATACTCATTCTCTTGATGGTACCGTACTCTTGATGGTACGGGACAGGTACGGGATAGCGCCAGGCATGTCGATGGCACAAACAAACAAAAATATTGTGGCCAGCTGTCTTTGCTGGTACGGTACAGTACGGGACAGATACGGGATAGCGCCAGGCGTGACACAAACAAACAAATACACAAACAAACACCAAATTAAAGCTGTGTGGACCCTGGCTAGCGCCAGACGTTACTGAAGTAACGTCTTCTGCATAGCTACGGGAATTAAAGCTGTGTGGACCCTGGCTAGCGCCAGACGTTACTGAAGTAAATGTCTTCTGCATAGCTACGGGAATTAAAGCTGTGTGGACCCTGGCTAGCGCCAGACGTTACTGAAGTAACGTCTTCTGCATAGCTACGGGAATAAAGATTATTATCTAAAGCGGGATTCACAGCAGCTTTTTTTGCGATGCGACTCCCGCGAAACCTGGAAATTGCCAAATGGCAGCTATCTCGCACCCATGCAACTGCCGCAACTGGGCCATCGCAGAAGTTGAGCTTGGCTCAACTTTTGCGATACGACAAGCGATTTGGCGTTCAACTTTGACCTTTTCTAGAGCAAAGATGTATAAAGTTTCAAGAGTTGCCTTTAAATTTGTACAAGTTGAACCAAACCGCGCGAAATCAGCAAGGCGTTGTTGCATCACTTACTTCTTCTGTGAATGGTATTTCGCGAATTCGCTTCGCACGCGTCCGTCCCAGATCGCGTCGTATCGCGTGTCGCATTGCAAAAAAAGCTTTTGTGAGTCCGGCTTAAGTCGTAAGTACTATTCTATAAAACCATAACATTTAGCGTACAAGCTCTTCTTGATCCCCCCAAAAATAATGGGATTACGGAATCATATTTTATTAACGTCTTATTCGTGCACATCGTGATCCATTATGCCTTTTGTTAAGCCTACTTCACATTCGACGGGGCGCGACGGGACGCGACGTAAGGATCGACGGGAAGCGACGGGACGGTCTGACGGCGTCCAATGTGAACACCAGGAACGGGAACGCAACCGTCCTACCGTACAGATTGGGAAGCGACGGGAAGAGTTGGATCGATCCAACTTTTCATACCGTAGACGGGCGTAGGCGGGGGACGCAAGCATACAAAATGGCTGCAATTTGAGTGTGAACAGGAGACGGTGTCGTGCGCCGACTACTCCCGATTTGTACTTGGAAATTTTCGGCATTTCGAACATTGCGCTTCCCATGATAACTCACAGAATGGCTAGCATGACTTGAGTTTAATTTTAGCAACATAAGATCTCATGTCACTTATTGTATTTAGGGATAGTTCAGAAGCGTGTCAGACGAACTATTATAATTATAATTTCCAGGGGCTATTATTTGAATGCCACGACTTCCAGGGCTAATTTTTTGCCCTAATGAAAAACTGGTGTTGTGAACTTGATTCCGCTTCTTTCAAGAAGAAATAATTGAAAAGAAGTCCCGAAAAACGAGAAATTAGTTCCGAAAGTCACCCCGTCACGGACCGTGCCTTATGACTCGCGCGGTTCGACGTTGAACGTCGCAAGGACTGCTGGATGTCGTGTCCTATGAATTGTACAGGATTTTGCAACTCACCCCAGCCCTGCCGACAAGCCCTTACGTCCCATACCGTCGGCGTTGCGTCGAATGTGAACTAGGCTTTATGGATGTCAGACTGAGTTGGATAACGGCGATGTGGCATCATGGACATTTAGGCACCCAAGATGGCAGAGGTCGTATCTGTTCACAGGGGAGACAGATGAATCCAGGGACATACCACCCTGGCCCTGGGGCCTAATAAATACAACTCCGAGGGAGAGGGCAACTTTGTCTAATGGTTGTTGTTTATTTAGAAGAAAGAGGAAAAAATGTTTCATGCGCATGAGTATCTGGTGAGGGAGCTGACGTCATGCAGCGAGGTCGCTACAGACATAATCACCAAGAGTACTGTACTGTGCTTTTGATTTCTCTTTGGGACTACTTGTGTCGCATGGCTTCCGTTTCTGACACTTTTCTATAGTGTCGTCTTCAGTACAGGTTGGCAATTGCTTTTCTAACAATTTATCGTTCTCTGCTGAGGACCAGTCCTAAGGTTTGAATACAAAAGAAAACCCAGACCAGGCCTCAACGTGGAGGGCAACGACGGCGCTACGTACACAGCGGATAGGCCGGTTGCGACTCGAACCAACGATTTTATTTTGGCTAAATGCACCCTGTGCGAGTCGCAAGGCGCGCTGAAACACCAGGTACGCTCCGCATACGGTACGCATTTGTAGAATTCGCAATGTTGGAAAGCGTTTACAAGTACAATACAAAAAATGAATGTTTTAGTAAATCGGCAGGTGGTCGTCGCTTTAAATCCTGCAAATACTGCGTATTCAGGTGACAATTGTTCACCAGAAAAGGCATCGTAGCGAAGCAGTCGCACGGTTCCTGGACTGCCAACATCTTCGAGGCAACTCAGTGAACCCATCCCTAGCCAACCACGCCGAGAAAACCTCTTCGACAGGGGGGAGGGGGAGGCATCTTCTTGTCTGAGCCGTTTCTGAGACTTGCCTCACGGACTATTTCTGCTCCAATTAAAAAAGTACCTGATTATGCCAATAATTATGTCGGCATGATCCGGTTACCCCTACCCATACCTAAGAAACTATGCGAAGTCGCAACTACGTTCCAAAGTAGAAGACAGGAATTTGCGGATTCAAATGCCTCTTCAAAGGGTTGAAACCACTGCTACTACGACGACCACAACTATGTGAGATTAGAAAACTTTAATATTTCAAACGACGACATCAGCATAAGAAAAATCATTAACATAAAGTCAATTTTATAATAGCAATAAAGAGAACAAATTCTGCAGTCATCGCTACACTACAACGAAGTCATGAAAGTTTACCAGAATTAGTTTTCTTGTCACATCCATCAGTGGAAAGTCGCGTTGAATGTATATTAAATCATTGTTCAGCATGGTTACTCTTCAGTCACGACTTTCCACTGATGAATGTGACAATAAAATTAATTCTGGTAAACTTTCATGACTTCGTTGTAGTGTGGCGATGACTGCAGAATTTGTTCTCTTTATTGCTATTATAAAATTGTTGTCTCCACGTCGATTATTTGCGTAAAGTCAATTTGAAGATTTTAATTCTTGTATTTCGCTCCGCCCATAGCGGCACATACAGCTCTCTCCTAAAAGCAGTTTTTCATGTCCACTCCGCCAGTGTACACACTACTGCCGTCACCAAGTCCAAAATCCCCTTTTCTCTAGTATTGTCGTCTGCCCGCACGAAAGCTGATTTATCCTGTCTTTGCTACATAGGTTCTGATCGGTGGAACATGTCGCCTTCCACTGTTCGCTCTTTTACAGATTCGCGCACATGTATTCGATCATGCTTAACCTTTTTAGGGGCTCCCGTCAGATGATCGTAGGTCTGCGGGAAACCCAAAAATTATACCATGCATCAGCAGTGTCAAACAACAATAACAGGGCCATGTTACATAATGGTCCATCACAAACGTTCACAAGTTGGCAATGGACCGTGACTGATGTTGGATGTGCAGTGTACAGTTTTCGTGCCATTGATCTTGTATCCCAATTTGCACACAACCGTGTAATGAGGTGCAATTCCATACATTGATCCATGTGCGACAGTTAACGTGCAGTTTGGAATTTCTGAGAAGTAAAGGAAAATGAAACAAACAGTAGAAGGGTCAGCTACCATATTCATCCTGGTAAGCAGTGCGGAAATTGCAAGGCGAACTCTCTTCTGTGTAAATGTGTGCAAAATCTAGCTGTTATGACTCCACTCAGGTACCTGATTGCCATGGATCTAAGGCATTAACGCGACCAAGCACATGTACGTTTTGAATATTGCATGTGAGCGTGGGTGCTGTTGCTGCTGCTATCTAAATTGAAAAAGTTACAGATAAATCTTCACAGGCTTCAACCGCAAACCAATTCCGCCCGTACATTCTCAGCGGTATGCACCCTCACTGATCAGAAAGGCTTTTGGGAAAAATGCCCCGTCAAATGTTTGTTTCCATGGCCAACTTGGCTATCTTGATATGCACACAGTTCTGGAAAGGATGGAACTAGGAATGCATATTGTCGTCAACACAGACATTTTAGGTACCTGCTTGTGTGTAGTGGTAGCAGTTTTGTGTTGAACTCCAAATAACAACATTAACACGCTTCTTGACCGGACCCTGTAGCTACCACTCTGTTGAAGTAGACAAAAGTGTACAATTCTCAAAACACATCTATCAGTGGAAGTAAATGAAGTTATGAATCAAAACGATCAGAATGTCTGATCATTCACGACTTACGTTCGCAGGTTGGCAATGCGGTAGGACCGGTTTTGGTGCAATTTACAGTCTTACTGCCTTTGAGCTTGTAGCCTAAATCGCATTCAACTGTATAGAATGGTGAAGTTCCAAGTATAGATCCTCCATTCACAGTTACGTTGCATGCTGGAATTACTGAAGACCAATGGACAGTGGACGGAAAAATGCATGTAGGCACACTATGAGCTACGATACGCGGCTAACGCAAATCCTGAAGGCAAGCAGGCCGTAGATTGAGCACTAATACGCTCGCTCATCTCTCGGCTGGTCGTTATTGGAGTTATGTCCGGATCCTTCATACTTCTGATAGGTATAATCACATTATTGTCTGCGCGTCGATCGTTCGTAAGATGTGGACAATTCAGTTTAACTGATTGTAACCAGGAACGAGAAAATAGCATCTTCATACTTTATAACCGCAATCAGTAATACAAGCTGGATCGACATTTGTGTACACTGTATTCATGTATTGTAAAACTGTGGAGACAATGTGCAATAAAACGATGAAAAATGTGAAGAAATTGTGTAGAGAAAGAAAGGGATTCAAACAAGTTTTCGTACAACACAGTTTCACAATACATGAATACAGTGTACACAAATGTCGATCCAGCTTGTATTACTGATTGCGGTTATCAAATTGTTGTCTCCTCGCCGGTTGTTCATACTTTATTTTCGAATTTTATAATTATTAGGTGCCAAATTGAATCGTTTTAAAACGTTCCGTAAATTCTGCCAAGTAGAGGAGGGTATTTCATGTAGGAACGGTTTGACAGAAAATTGTGTAGACCCAACCGATCATCAGCGTGTAGTGTTCACTCGAAATAATATTATGTTACTTGAGCGATAATAACAAGAGAGCTTGGAAGCTCAGGGCCCTACGCTATGCCTTAAGGTTTTTTCCTTAGCTCATCGTACATGTTATAGAACTGATGGAAATGTTTTTTTCCGTTGATTGGCCACATCATTGTATTGCAAAAACGTTTCAATCAGTGTAAATAAAAGTGTTTGCAGAATTTATGGCGGATTGCTATTTTCTCTAATTTCATCCACTTTTGGTTTGCTCCTTCTTTTCTTTTTATGTCCTTGTACTGTAAATCAACAAATGACTCCTAAAATACGTATCCTTTCCGACGGCTTAAGAGGCTGCAGATTTAGTTTTTCTGCGCGTCGGCAGGATGTCTGTCCTGACGTTTCCTGGGACCGGCGCTGACTCTGCCGATCACGGGCGTTCTGGAGTCGACGGGATGTCTGCCCTGACGTTTCCTGGGACCGGCGCTGATTCTGCAGATCACGGGCGTCCTGAAGTCGACGGGATGTCTGCCCTGACGATTCCTGTCACCGGCGCTGACTCTGTCCATCACGGGCGTTCTGGAGTCGACGGGATCTCTCTTCCGACATTTCCTGTGACCGGCGCTGAGTCGCCCGTTCACGCTTATTTTGGAGACGACGGGATCTCTCCTCCAAAGTACTTCGAAGTATGTATTTTCTGACCCATCTTATCACCTATACTGCGTCTATTCTCATTTTCATTTCCTCCTCGTCTCCATATTTCTTTCCAAATCTCCCTCTACATCAGGGAGTCGTATACATAATACGACGAATATTGTGGCCAGCTGTTTGTGGCCGGCTGTGTTTGATGGTACGGTACGGGACAGATACGGGAGCCGGCAAATATTGTGGCCAGCTGTTATGTACAATACTGTAGAGCCTTTGTAGTCACAGATACGGGACAGATACGGGATAGCTCCGGGCGTGACACAAACAAACAAACAAACACCAAACGAGAGAGCTTGGAAGCTCAGGGCCCTACGCTATGCTTTTTTTGCCCAGTTGATGACCTACACAAAAAAAGCCAAGGGATGTTATAAATTCTTTAAAAAATTCCTTTTTTTTAAGACATCACCTGGGAGTTGAACCCGCACTATCGCGCGCCCTGCGTACATCCCCAGATACACTTCGCATACATACTAATTCTTCCAAGTTTCTTCACGTCATGATCTTGCATTTGAAAGCCCTATTTGAATATGCATTGTGGCCAGCCTTCTTTGATGGTACGGTACGGTTTTTACGGTTTTTTAAAGACAATAATCTGGGATTCGAACCCGCACTATCATTCTGGAGTCGACGGGATGTCTGTCCTGACGTTTCCTGGGAACGGCGCTGACTCTGCCGATCACGGGCGTTCTGGAGTCGACTGGATCTCTTTTCCGACGTTTCCTGTGACCGGCGCTGAATCGCCCATTCACGCTTATTTTGGAGACTACGGGATGTCTCTTCCAAAGTATGTTTTTGCTGACGAATCCTATCACCTATTCGGCTACTAATGTCCATTCTAATTTCATATCCTCCTCGTCTCCCTATTTCTTTCCAAATCTCCCTATACCTCAGGGAGTCGTATACATAATACGACGAATATTGTTGCCAGCTGTTTGCGGCCAGCTTTGGATTTTCGGTCTTTGACCGCATACATTCTGGCGAGCTGATCTACTCACCTCCCACCGCTTTAGGAACTGCATCTGCGCCTTGATCCTTGAAGGGTCAGGGGCGTCACCCGTGATGGGCACGGGGGGGCAAGTGCAAGTGCAAGTGTCTCTTCCAAAGTATGTTTTTGCTGACGAATCCTATCACCTATTCGGCTACTAATGTCCATTCTAATTTCATATCCTCCTCGTCTCCCTATTTCTTTCCAAATCTCCCTATACTTCAGGGAGTCGTATACATAATACGACGAATATTGTTGCCAGCTGTTTGCGGCCAGCTTTGGATTTTCGGTCTTTGACCGCATACATTCTGGCGAGCTGATCTACTCACCTCCCACCGCTTTAGGAACTGCATCTGCGCCTTGCGAAGGGTCAGGGGCGTCACCCGTGATGGGCACGGGGGGCAAGTGCACCCCCCCCCCCTAAAAAATTCGACTGTACTTGTTTTTTTGCGAACTCCTGGTTATGAAAAGTGTAGTGCCGGTAGAATCTATTAATAAACTGCATGCACTAAATTTACTGGTAGTCTACAGTTGTATTGTGCTGCCGCGATCGGGTGAGCGCATGTAGCGAGTGCAAGTACATGACCAGTAGACGACTCGTAGCCTAGTTACACCAAGACGGCAAGAGTACATAACCCCAGGGGTTATGACTCTTGGTTACACTAGTTACACTGAAATTGCACGAAATGCCGGGAAATGCGTGCAATTGGCTTCAATTTTTGAAATGTTTCCCGGGGGAGGGCCCCCGTACAACATGACCGCTCCGCCTCCAAAGTCGGCGCAAGGGGCCTGCTATCAGCGAACTTTTTCGTGTTTTCCTTTGCAAAATGTGGCGTTCGTACGGATGCGGAAAACTCGGCCTCTATTATAGAGAAACCGAGTCTGACGCGAACCGTGAAAAAAATGTTATAGCTCCACGGGGCCACTGCAGAGAAGCAATAAGCCGCGTGACTGCTTCCATTAGTTTTCATTGGTATCTGGTGCTTTATTGGCAAGAGGCGATCCGCTGTTTATATTCGCCTAGAAGCTGGACTTTCGAAAGACATAAAAAAACTCAAGTTGCAGTGCGAAGCAACACGTCATTGAGTTTTTGACTCGGAATAAAACACATCGTACTCTCACTATGACATAATTTATGTTTTCTAAACAAAATTCCAAGACAGAAAGTGGATATCGATTCTGTTCCGGTTTGCGACATATCTCCTATTTGGATCATTCTCCTCTACACATCAAATGCCCTACTTACCAATGCATTTCGGCAGAGTAGTATGCTGGCTGGTTCCATTACAGGTGACCATGCTAGGACCATCCAGGTAATATCCTGCGCTACAAGTGATGTTGTATACTGGCCCAGTTGTACCTATCACAGCATTGGGTATCTTGAACTGACACGCGTAAGCTGAGAAGCAATGGACCACACAAGACTCTCTCAAAGCCAATTCAATCTTGACACTTGATGGAAAACAATAACAATGTGTGATAACAGTAAAAGGTGTGATTCAAAAAGCGGTTTCGGAGCAAGAAGCTTCAGCAAAGCTTTTGAGGAAACAAAAAATGCATCGTTCGCTTGTTTCCAATGTGTTCCACATGATTCATGTACCACATATCGCACTTTAATGTCCTCAACGTCAACTTGGTTGGTTGGTAGGTTTTTTATTTCACTTTGCACGGGATGACGACCCAATAAAATGACGGCGAAGGCTTAGCCTAGAAGTGACCATGGAAGAACATAGTAAAAGGTATGGAAGCGCATAGTAAGAGAATAGGATACTAATAACTGCGAGTAAACGGGGGGAGAGAGAGAATACGATGTTTCTGTGATACTACACGAGGATTACTGAACTGCATGGAGAGGGAGAGCAGAGCGATCAGCAGCAACTCGAACTACTCCCTACAGGCGTATGGTACACATGCATGCTTAAACTCAGGTAGCCGGGTAATTGTGCGGACCTCACCAGGGAGAGCGTTCCACAGCAGAGCACCAGCAACAGAAAATCTCCGCTGACCGCAGCGGCTACGGTTTGCCTGGCTTAGTAGGCAATTTGACTGCTGATGGCGGGTAGGGGTGCCTTGTGCCGGGGTCAGAAGCTGGGCGAGCACAGGGCTGGTGCGGGCGTGGATGCACCGCAAGATGGTGATCAATATTTTCTGCCTGTAGAGCTCGCTGACATGGTACAGGGGGTGACCAGTGAGCAGCGGCTGCATGGCTGTCCGGGGCGGGTTGCCATCGATACAGCGGATGGCTCTGTTTTGCGCGGTTTGCAGTCCTTTCAGTTGACCCTCTCGCATTGCGGCTGAAAAGCAGCAGGAGCCATAAAGCAGGTCGGGCATTATGACCGCCTTCACATACACCTGACGAGAGCGTCTTGATAGGCTTCGGCGTGCCCGCCACAAGGCGCCAATTTTCTTGGCAACCTTGGTGACCACATAGTTTGCATGGGTGTCCCAATCTAGGCGATTTTCAAGGTGAACGCCGAGGTAGCGCGCAGAAGACGCTGAGGGGAGGAGACAGTCGCGGCTTTTGACTGTTACTTCCTGTACATGCTGCTGGGGAGAGATAGTCAGAACCTGCCTCTTGGTGGCGTTCAAGATGAGGCCTCGGGATTTCAGCCAACCGGCCAGAGCAGTTGCCGCTGTGGTGAGGGCTCTGGACGCTTCCGCCGCTGAGGCCTGGGAGTCGGACATGGCTATGTCATCTGCAAATTGTACACTTGGCACAGGCGAGAAAACCAAAGGGACATCTCGTGTGTATATACTGAAGAGGACAGGACCGAGAACAGAGCCTTGGGGCACTCCGCAGGTGCAAGCCAGAGCAGGGCTGGTGGAAGCCGAGATGAGTATCTGCTGCTTGTGGCCGGACAAGTAGTCGACGAACCAACTAAGGGCTTTTCCAGAAATTCCAACCGCCAGGAGGTCTTAAATTAACTTGTCGTGGTGCACTTTATCAAAAGCCTTTGACATGTCTAGTAGGCACAGCCCTGTAGTCTCGCCACTGTCTCTCGCCTTCTGCAGATGATCAGTCAGCTTCCGTGGAACATTTCTTGCGGGAGGCAAATTGTGTTTCGGGTAATGCCTTGGTCAAGTCCAAATGACGAACTAACTGGTGTTGCACTACCCTCTCCAGCAACTTGGACACTATTGGGAGAAGGGATACAGGTCTATAGTTGGTGGGGACTGATGGGTCACCGGCCTTGTCAGCTTGGTTAAATTGTCACACGATCTTTCTTGTTTAAAAGAAAGGACCTACATGTTACATGTTATCCGTAGTTTTTGTCCACTGATAACAGTTAAAATCAAGATGTTGTGTAGTCAGCAGTTGCAACAGCTGAGATTTTCAGCAAGTCGAATGATGTTGATGCAATGATAAGCGAATGGTACGCAAAGGTTTTTACTGCTCTAGATCGTCACGCCCCCTTACAACCTCCTCGTACGCCGAGGCGCCGACCTTGCCCATGGTTGTGTCCTGAACTTGTATCTGCTGTGCGTCAACGAAACAAGGCCCACCGACTTCTTTCACGCTCTCCAAACGATGTCCGCCTGCGAGAGCAACACCGCACTCTCCGCGCAGCCGCGCGCAAGCTAGATCGGAGGCTAAGGGATCAGTATTTTCAAGCTCGCCTACAGTCGGCCGGAAAGGATGGACGGAAGCTCTGGAATACGATAAACGTGGTGACTGGACGAGCGAAAAGTTCAAGCCCACCACAAGTACCTGTTGGAATCCTCTCCCGAACTTTTGGCGAAGTTGTACATGACCCTGGACGACCAGACGCGCTGTGCGCCAACGCACCAGCCGAACGTGAAGCACCAGCATTCACGGAATTTGCGCCTGTTTCGACGGAGGACATTACGGCCCTTCTCCAGTCCGTTGACGCGTCAAAAGCAACTGGACATGATGACTTGCCGGGTATTGTCCTTAGAAACTCGGCATCAATACTGGCTCCCTCGCTCAGCATCATTTTCAATACTTCGTTATGTCAGGGGTGTGTTCCCCGTCAGTTTAAAATTGCTAATGTGTCGCCGCTATTCAAAGGTGGCGGCCTTGACCCTTGTCAGCCTACTGCCTATCGACCTATTTCTCTACTACCAGTCGTTTCTCGCCTCCTCGAGAAGATCGTCAAAGCTCAGCTTACATCCTTTCTGACCGATCACAGTATTCTCCCTGACTCGCAGTTCGCGTACAGGAAGAACCACAGTACGGAGGACGCTCTTGTGCTAGCTGTCAATCGCTGGCTGAAAGCGAAGTATGAGCGCAAACTCACAGGTGTGATATTCGTGGATATGTCGAAGGCTTTCGACTGTGTCAAACACACCATCTTGGCACAGGAGCTATCCGACATTGGGGTCGGCGGTACTGTCCAGATATGGTTCACTAGTTACCTGAGTGAGCGGCTTCAACGCGTAGTCGTGGGCGGAAATTGCTCGGAATACGTCGCATGCAGTCGAGGGGTGCCGCAAGGATCCGTCCTCGGCCCCCTCCTGTTCACACTATACATCCGTAACCTTCGATGCTGCTTGCCCCAGCAGGTCACAAACCAGGAATTTGCAGACGACATTGCAATTGAAGCCTCGGGCAGTTGCGAACAAGTGTGCTCTTCTCTAAGCACAGCCATCACTGGCCTGTCGCAGTGGTTGGAGGACCGCGGGCTAATGCTGAACCAAAAGAAAACGCAAGCTCTGTTGATTACCCCAAGAGGCCCAGCCCCTGACACAGATAACATTCGAATTCGCTGTGGGAATGCAGCCCTTGCAGTTGTGGAACAAGCGCGGTACCTGGGCGTAATGGTAGATGGGCAGCTCTCCTGGGAGCCTCACGTCAATCACACAATCCAGCAGGTGCGGAAGTCAGTAGGTGCGCTGTGGCGGAGCCGCCGAAGCCTCACCCTGGCGTCAAAGATCCTGTTTTACAGGTCGATGATCCAGGGTAGGTTGTCGTACGCTTCCAACGCCTTTTATCCGTCACTTCAAATTGGCAACATGGAGCCCCTCACACGTCTAACGAAGTGCGCTATCCGCGGCTTCTTCGGTCTGCCACCGTGGTCGCGCACGAGCCCGATCTTTGAACAGCTCCGCCTCACCACCCTGGAGGACATGTTTAACATTAAGCTCCTCATCTTTGTCCGTCGTTGTCTGTTCTCCCGAGCTAGCTCCCTCTTCACCAGCTTCTTCGTGAGAGTTACTGGTGACCGCACTCGGGGAGCAGCACATCACCTCGTTCGAGTACCATTTTGGCCCGGTCCTGCGGGTCGAGCGACCATGCAGTTCATCGGCGCAGTCCTGTGGAACCAGCTCCCGCCTGATCTCCGTTCCGAGCCCAGCCACCTTCAGTTCTGTGCCCTGCTAAAAGCGCATCATGGCTCCGTTTAAATGCTTTTCGGCTAGTGTGTTTCTGTGGTATAGCGGACTGAAGAATAGTAAACGTGTTTTGCAATATATGTATGAAGCTATTTTGTATATAGTATGTTCCCATTCCGTTTTTGCTTTGGTGTAGCCCTGAGGTTGATTGCTTATTTATTTCTACCCTTCCTCTCTCCATACTTCTGCCCCCCCCCCTCTCTCTCATTCCTTCTGTCGTCCACATGTATCAAAGGAGGCGAAATCGCCTGTTTGTGGTGCGACGTTAAATAAACTTCTACAACAACAACAACAACAGCTCGCACGATACTGACAGATGGGATACTGACATTCAACAACCTGATGATAATCTCGTTTTCCAAGTGAGCCGTGGCCGTCCTGTGCCGTGGTCCCTCGTCTTTCGTCAACATCTCGTCAAACCCAAAATTCTTAGTTTGCCGTGATGTTTATTGTTTCTGTCCTGAGTGCGCTCACCTTCCCCTTTCGCATGTTCTTTCTTCTTTTTCTTCTTCTTCTTCTTCTTCTTCTTCTTCTTCTTCTTCTTCTTCTTCTTCTTCTTCTTCTTCTTCTTCTTCTTCTTCTTCTTCTTCTTCTTCTTCTTCTTCTTCTTCTTCTTCTTCTTCTTCTTCTTCTTCTTCTTCTTCTTCTTCTTCTTCTTCTTCTTCTTCTTCTTCTTCTTCTTCTTCTTCTTCTTCTTCTTCTTCTTCTTCTTCTTCTTCTTCTTCTTCTTCTTCTTCTTCCTCTCCTTTATTAAAAAGTGGGCAGGCCTACCCAAGGCTGCAAACACCGCCATCCTCTTCACCGGAAATCGAGAAAGGCCAGGTCTCCGGCTCATGTGTATCACAACACTATGGAAGCAGCAGCAAACTATTAAATGGCACATTATCAAGCACAGCAAAGACCACAACATCGCTCAACTGTATTGCCATCACAGAAAACAAGAACAAACGTTCACCCGTAGGTTCTCGCCGGTTGTGGAATTGGAATGTGCCGAAACGGCCGTATGGGACACGCCTGCTTCGCGACCGCCCAGATCCGGACTGG